TGCAGTGCCCTCTCAAAAAATAGTGCATGCATTGTTTTCATGGTGCACTGGGGCGCGATGCAATGACCTGCATTGCGTAGACGCATTTAACTTATGTTGCCACTGTGCATAGTTGTCGCTATGTGCTCTCCATTATATACTGCTTAGCTACACACACAACAGCCATTCTCATTCAAAAAAAATCGGCTCATGGTGTGTAAATGGAATCACTACGCCAAGCAGGAAAAAACTCAGTGATAGCATTGCAGGTTATCATCCTGATCCTCATCACACTATCGAGCGGAGCACAACATAACTCAAACAGGTTCACTTTGATGGCAGCCCCACTGCCTGCGCATACTTACCTTTCCCTTATTCCCCAAATGCTTAGCTCAGCCACCAAGAACTTAAAGAGAATGTCATGTGTTAGCTTAAGGTTGTGACCTGGAACTTACACATGGCTGGGGACTCCCCCAGCACAAGTGGTGTATGAGTGGCCAATAGCCAAGAACCAGCACTGTTACATGGGATAAAGTAGAGTCTCTTAACTTTCCCTGTGCCGGAGCCAACTATGAATCTGTTGGGTGATGTATTTACCTCTATCTAGCCTTCCCCTGTGCTAGAACTATCTATGAATCTGCTGGATGATGTACTCCCCTCTTTCTAGCCTTCCCCTGTGCCGGAGCTATATATGAATCTGCTGGGTGATGTACTCATTTCTCTCTAGACTTTACCTATCTCAGAACTATATATGAATCTGCTGGGTGATGTACTCATTTCTCTCTAGACTTTACCTATCTCAGAACTATATATGAATCTGCTGGGTGATGTACTCATTTCTCTCTAGACTTTACCTATCTCAGAACTATATATGAATCTGCTGGGTGATGTACTCATTTCTCTCTAGACTTTACCTATCTCAGAACTATATATGAATCTGCTGGGTGATGTACTCATTTCTCTCTAGACTTTACCTATCTCAGAACTATATATGAATCTGCTGGGTGATGTAATCACCTCTCTCTAGCCTTCCCCTGTGCCGGGCCATCTATGAATCTAATGGATGATATATTCACCTCTGTGTAGTCTTTCCCTGTGCTGGAGCTATCTATGAATCTGCTGGGTGGTGTAGTCACGTCTCTCTATTCCATACACTGATGTCAGCACAGACATTGGCAGAAATGGTAAAAAAAAAAAAAAAAAAAAAAAAAAAAAAAAAAACAAAAAAAAGCGTAAACCAAAATAAATGAACAAAAGAGGAGAGGTAATCCAGAGGAAAGTGGGGCAAGAGCTAAAAGGGAAAATGAAAGGAAGTGTGTCAGGCGAGATAAAAATATGACGCTGACTAAAAGAGACGCATAATCCCACGCAGGCAGACGCTGCTCGAGAGCAAGGCCGGCATGAACGAAATGATGAGGGATTCACAAAATACCTCGGTAAGACAAGTACACAGCCACCGAGCACAGCCGTCATGCAACACACACCATTTATCATCCTAAGGGCTTCTTCTACCTATTATGTTCTCCTCCAGCATGAATGCTCTCAGGATCATGAGGTGTGACAATGCTTCCAAGCTAGGGAGCAAAAGGCCCGTTGGAAAAAGGTGGGTTGCCATAAACAGAAAGCATTTTTAAAAACTGTGTGATACAGTTCAATTGTTCGGGAATTAAAAAAAAAAAATCCCCTCAGGTGTTAAATGAAATGCTCATTAAGTCTAGAGATAAAGGAGGTATTATACCTTATTCCTCTAACACTCCAGCAAGCTTCCTCCCCACCATGTGACCAGTCCGCCGAAACCTCTTCTCTATTATGCTCCGGCCGGCGGTCGCATGCTGATGTAATCAAGTACTGATGTAATCAATGCAGGACCAATAACCCCCAACCCAAAGCATCGGAAAGAAGGAGCACGCCGGAGCCTACCAGAGCGAGGAATAAGGTAAGTATTGCAACTTATTCCTCTAGTCTTAGCTTCAAACAGCATTGAACCCTTGTGGTGCGGGGGGATAGGTGGGGGCTTGGGAGGGTGGTGTCCACTGCAAGGGTAGTTTTCTTTCCAAGAGTTGAGTTTTCCAGGACCACTGTAGAAAAAAAATATTGTTTGCTGCTAACTGTATGGTTTAACAGGTCATAATCCACTCACCTGGCTGGTGCAATGTCGGGACTGAATCACTAGAGGTTCTATTAGGCACCTTCTTTCCAAGTGCAAAAACTTCTGGTCCCAAAAATCAGCCTAAGAACTTGATCCAATGTTTAAGCTTTTTATTACAGAACGGCAGATAAAAAGGACAACGCTAGATGTATTTTGGGCAATCTTGGCCTTAAAGAAGGTAAATGAATACACATACCCTTGCAGTGGGGATACCCAGCACTGCAAGGTTTCAGTGTTAATGTTGTCTAGGGGACTCAAATAAAGCTGTTTTACTTGATCCTCGGTCCCATGGTGGTCAGCGCTCACCTCTCTACCCCTCTGGCTATGGAATGTCTCTCGGCGTCCTCACAATTAACACAGGTCAATGCACCGCATAAAATGTGAGGACATCAGCAGTTCTTGGAATGCTGGAAGCAGAGGAAAGAGGAGGCTGCGGGGACCAGTCTAGCAGCCCAAAGGAAGCTGGAATCACTAAACTCTTGCCGTGCAGGGGTAGCCCCACCATGCCAAGTGACACTAAACTCAAGTGTTAAATCCTAAAAATACACTCAAGTACCTTAACTGTTAACAAAAATGTATCTTATTTGTCTATCACTCGGCTGTAGATCCTCAAATCATCTCTGAATTGGTCCAGACACTGTCCTTCCTTCTGGAGTGTGGCTACTTTTGTTCCCCATGGTCCCTGTGTGTGTTGTAAAGTAGTCACCGCTCCAAGCTCACTCCTGTGATGGACTACACTCTCACGTTCAGTGTACTAATTTGTATTGAGATTGTAGTCCATCACGGGCTTGGATGTATTTTTAGGATCTAACTCCTGAGTTTAGTTTCACTTTAAATGTGATATTTAACTTGAAACTACCAGGGAAATGAAAATGGTGGCTAAATTACTAGTGCTTCTGGGATTTGCCAGAAGCACTAGTTGTCGGATGTCAAAAAAGACAAAAAACGCAGTATTGCAGTGTGCAATGATACCTTTTTTATTGGACTAAATTGCTTGGCTGTAGATGACACCCTATAGTGTGATTCGGATGGAAGCTGGAATTATGGAGGTAGCTGTACCTGTCTGTGGGTTTTCTGTACACAGAGGAACAGAGTGAGCCATTGCTGACCGTTATGGCACAATCCAGAAAAAACACACTGTGTACTGAGAAATTCATTTTAAATTTCATGGATGGATGGAATGAATTTAATGATTCATGGAAGTTTAAAAGGCTTTCTTCTGTAAATGCCTACTTATTTCGTTTGCAACACTCGATTGTGTATATGTTGTATGTCATATTTTTGGGAGGAAAGGAATTTGGTACAGGCCTCAATACCATCTTTATGGGGGATGTTACTGTACAAAGATTCCACATCCATGGTGACAAGTATAGTATTAGCAGGTAGGTTGGTGATTAGGCTCAGTTTGTTCAGGAAATCTGTGGTGTCTTGTATAAAACTCCCTGTGTTGATAACTAGGGGCTTTAGAATGTTTTCAATTAAGCCAGATATTTGTTTTGTAATTGTTTCCATACCAGTAATAATGGGTCGTCCTGGGTTTCCTGGCTTGTGGATTTTGGGCAGCATGTAGAAGGTCCCCATGTGAGGATTGGAAGGTAACAGATTAAGTAATCCTTGCTGTATATGTTTTGGGAAGGATTTGATAAATTTAGTAAGTTCTACCGTATATTCCCTGGTGGGGTCCTGGTCCAGTTGTTTGTAGTAGTTCTTATCAGACAATTGTCAGTTTCCTTCTGCAATGTAGTCCTGGGTGTTCATGATAACTATTGATCCGCCCTTGTCAGCTGGTTTGATGATGATGTTTTTATCATTCATTAAGTTATGTAAGGCTTTTCTTTCTGCAGGTAGGAGGTTGTATGAGCAGCAACAGCACGCCGCCTTCCGGGACTTCGTCCGGTCCTCCCCCAGCCAGGTAAGACATCCCCCGAAAATAAGACCTAGTGTCTTATTTCGTGCAAAAAAAAAAATAAGACAAAGATACAGAATAAAGTGAGATAGAACAGATAACGGATTAGGTGACTAGGTACACCGGCATAGCAGAAAACATAACCATCGTCAATCAGAGAATGCCCCCGGACTGTGCCCGGTAAATTGGATGTCAGGCTACACATTTATTTACAGCAGGGGGGGAATAATAGAAGGTTGTCAGTGAATAGCTCTACCTCTATAATATACACCCAGCCTGAAGAGTCACTTTAGCTCTCAGCGTGTCATTTACTAAGGAGACGGTTCTGCAGGCTCAGTTTTAAAATAATGCGGCGTCCAGGCAAATATCAGTATTTTATCTGTGCTGCCCCCCGCTGTGGCTGCTCCCGGACACTGTCGGGGAATTGGAGGTGTGCTGACAAGCCTGCGAATGTGCGTGGCACTGCAGAGGCAGATACAGACAAAATTTAGCACAGCGGCATTACTTGTCCTTATCAGAATATAAAACTTGGGAGAAAGCAAACAGCCGTATCAAAAGAACTAAACTAGATAAAAGCTTCCATGTGGGTAAGGGGAAGATAGCTCCCCAAGATTCCAGAAAGAATACACATGACTCTTGCATGTGGACAATATTTGCTTATCCCGGAGTTCAGATTTATGACCACAATGTCTAACCCTGCTGTACAACAACCATGCATACATGCTTTAACTCACTAAGCTGCTAGACATATCCCTGACCTCATGCGACAGAGATTTCATCTGAATGGTGGGAGGTAGGTCCCATACCTGGAAATTCTCCATATATCCTATAAGTAAAGCCCAGTCCACAAAAAATGATTATGGTCACCTCTAAATCCACGCTGCTTTCCTGCAGCCCCCCAAGAGGAACAATGCTGATCAGACGGTGAACAGGCTCATAGTTTTGCCCGTTATGCTCGAGACTCACCTGTTAGGATGTTTTCAGCCAGAACGTTGACCTGGACCTCCACTGAGTGCTTTGATGTGTAGGTAATTTCTGCACTCACGTGACCCACTTCTCCGATACTCATGGGTGACAGGAAGTCTGTGCGCTCTACGCGAGCCAGCGCAGCGACGCATTTCTCCTAGAACAGAACAGGGAAAAGGTCAGACAGGGGGGAAAAAACAGCTTCTTTCATAACAACGAAAAGAGAAATCAGGATTTCAAAAGTGCTGTAACCGACTCCATCCAATCTTTGTTGGGGGGAGCATGTGACCCAATCCCTTTCCTTCTATCGATAAGTGGGATCATGTGACCCAATCCCTTTCCTTCTATCGATAAGTGGGAGCATGTGACCCAATCCCTTTCCTCCTACCGGATATAGGGGAGCATGTGACCCAATCCCTTTCCTTCTACCGATATGAGGGAGCATGTGACCCAAGCCCTTTCCTCCTACTAGATATGGGGGAGCATGTGACCTAATCCCATTCCTTCTACCAATATGGGGGAGCATGTGACCCAATCCCTTTTTACCTACCCGATATGTGGGAGCATGTGACCCAATCCCTTTTTACCTACCCGATATGTGGGAGCATGTGACCCATGCCTTTCCCCCTACTGGATATTGAGGAGCATGTGAACCAATCCCTTTGCTCCTACTGGATATGGCGTAGCATGTGACCCAAGTCCTTTCCTCCTACTAGATATAGGGAAGCATGTGACCTAATCCCATTCCTTCTACCAATATGGGGGTGCATGTAACCCAATGCCTTCCCTTCTCTTGATATGGGGAAGCAAGTTACCCATTCCTTTCCTCCTACTGGATATGTGGGATCATCCAATCCCAACCCATGTTACCAATATATGGAAGCATGTGACTCAATCCCTTTCCTCCTACCAGATATAAGGGGGCATGTGACCCGATCCCTTTCCCCCTATATCTAAGTTCTGGTACATGGGAGCTCAGGCAACCAGGAATGGCACATAAGAATTGTAAAGCCTGTAGAGCTGCAGCTAACGATTATTTTCAAAATCGATTAGTTAGCCGATTATTAAGTTCGATTAATCGGTTAATCGGATAAACTATAAAATAAAGTTTAAAAAAAAGCTTGACAAGTAGCTTACAAAGGTCTTCCTCTCTTCACTTCCCATCCATGCTTGAAGACAGAATCCTAACTAACACTAAGCATTTTCCCAGCAGAATACAGACAAGTAGATCTAGAAAGTAGAAGATAGTATATATAGCAGAATAGAAGAGTACCCATGCTGCATAAATAATCTGACACCTAAAAATCACTTCCCCCACAAATGAGATCGGGTTCTGTACTGTATATAATGAGACACACACTATCTACTGCAGTACGGGTAGTCCTACTTACGTTGCATCATTCATACTCATAAATAAATGAAACATCCAACAAAAGGATGCAGAAGGAGATGGGGGCAAGCAACAGAACAGAAGATACCACCAGTAACAATATGATGATACAAAATAAATAAAAAATTGTATTCAGTCTGCTAATAATGTGAAATGTGATGCAGGAATTTCTGGATCCTGCACATTTAGGTGCCATGCCTCACAAAAGTTTGTTTTAGATTTTCTATTTTTTTGTTGGTCTCATTTCTGGTTTGTCGTACCCTATCATGAGGACCACTGCTACTGGACAAATGTCCTGTGAATACTCGGGGGGCTGCCATAAGGCTAGGGCTACAACGAATGATTATTTTCATAGTCGATTAGTTGAACGATTGTGTTTCCGAATAATCGGGGGAAAATAATTAAATAAACACCATCCTTAATTTACAACAAAATACACAAATGCAGTGTTACAAATAGGGATGCACCGATACCAAGTACCATACTCGGGACAATTACAGATACTTTTCGAGCTCCAAGACTAGACTAGAGAAAAATTCAAAAGTTAGGAGGCCGCTGTCATTTGTAAGGAGCATCCGGGGCTCCTGGGATTTGTACATCTCCGTTTTAATGTAGGATTTTGTTTTTATAAATATAAAGGGATGGACCGATACCATTTTTGCAAGTACAAGTACTGATACTTGTCCAAGTACGCACAGACACAAGTACTGATACATTTTTGTTTATTGTCATGTGACAGTTTTTCTAAAACAATACAGACTAATGATTGCAGGACAGTGGTGGAGCACCAGAGCCCGGTCCCAGCTGCAACCGCAGCAACCCTGGTAGTTCTCGTGAAAATGCCAAGTATCTGCACTGATATCTGAACTGGTATCGGTGCATCCCCAGTTACAAACATGAAGTTTACTTCAGAATAAAACTGCATGCACAATTTCTTACAATCCTACTGCACTGGAACGCAGAGCATTGCGGCACCGTGTGCTCCAGTGCGGGCAATTAAACTGTGCATGGGAGGCCATTGAAATGAATGGCACTGCAACGCGCCTCTCGCAGCAGAATTTGTCAGGCCGAAACCGAAAATAACTTTTCACACCTTTTCTCATTTTTTTTAAATAATTGTATTGTATGCACATGGCGATTACCAGAATAGTTGACAACTATTCTAATTATTGATTATTATCGATCAATTAGTTGGTTGCAAGCTCTACATAAGGCTACAGTAAACTGCATCTATAGGTGCAAGCAATGGTATGTTACTAGGGCACTGTTACCAAGTAAGTATCTATGCACCATCTCTGTCTTTGTCTTACTTCTCAGTTACTTGTTATGATGTTCCTGGTCATGTCCTACCTTTCCAACAAGTCACCAGAACAGAGGTAATCAGATTCTTTGACTGGTGAATCAAATAGGTAAGTGGACCTACAAACGTAGATGAAAAGATCTGGATTATGGAGTCCCAACTGAATATGCAACACTGGGGTCCTCAATTAGAATTCCAGCCAGGACACTATCTGCATAGAATTTATATTTTCCTCCTATGCTTGCAAGGGTTATATCCGGGTACGCCGGCTTCCTCCCACACTCCAAAGACATGCTAGTAGGTTCATTGGCTCCTGTCTAAAATTGGCCCTAGTGTGTGCATGTATGTATGTATGTATGTATGTATGCATGTGATAGGGACCTTAGATTATAAGCTCCTTGAGGGCAGGGATAGATTAGGCCATATGTAAAGTGCTAAATCAATTGTCCGGGCTATATAAAATACCTGTAATAAAGAAATAAATATTTTTTTTTTTACACCGCGGATGTCAACTGGTTAAAGAGCCAGCGTGTGATGCAATCTGGAGCATGCGCCCAAAACTTAAGTAGCCGGTTTGGGTGAACTGACCCTTTATATGATAATCTATTTCTTTTTATGAACAGCATCCCTAATAGTTTACAATGTCTGGGTCTGATATATATATATATATATATATGCATGTCTTTTGTGTTAATGAGAATGCCTATAGCACACACCCAAACAAACTATATCAAGCCACTGGATTTCAGCTCTGAATTCTAAATTTATGCGAGTGCACCATCTAGTGGCCAGAATATGTATAACTTCTTTGAAGCTCAACTCAGTTGAAGATCCTTTCCTGTACTGAAAATGCTTTAAAATAAAACCCAACCAACTAATATGAATGGACATAATGAATCCAGTCTCCGTTTATCCAAAAAAATGTTTATCTTGCGAGTGGTCATTTATATTTGTTGGTGGCCATTTAACCGATTCGCTGTCAGAGCTGTTTTTTGCATTTTTTTGCATTCACTTTAAAAAAACAAATTTTAGACCTGAAAATTAGTTAAAAACCTCCCAGAATTATATATTTTCTAAAAGCAGAGATGGTGGGGAATAAAACGGTAATAGTTGCAATTTTTTATATCGCACAATGTTGGTGCTACTGTTTATCAAACCCAAACATTCAGTAAATAATGCTTTCAAATACATTTTAATGCACACAAAGATAATACCCAATTTTTGGTAAAATAATAAGGATGAAGATGCATAGAGTACATAGATAACAAACATGTCAAGTCTAAGGCCCCATTCACACATGAATCGGCCTGCACGTACAGCTCCGTGCTGCGTGCGGGGCCGTACCAAGTAGCTGCCGGGAAGGACAGGACCCCGGGTAGGGGTGCGGGTTTTCTGGCCGGGACGCATACAGGATCCATTCCGGAGGCGTACGATCACCTGCACCCCTATGGAAATGCAAATGAGGTGAGCGTAGGGGGGCGTACGGCCGCGTAGCCCCATAGAGAAGGACGGGGGCTGCGTTCTAATCACACGCAGCGCCTGTCCTTCCCGGCAGCTACTTGGTACGGCCCCGCAGGCAGCACGGAGCTGTACGCGCAGGCCGATTCGTGTGTGAATGGGGCCTTAAAATTACATGTGCACGTGAAATGGCAGCAAACTTTGGTACTCAAAATTGGCCATAGATGACCCTTTACAGGTCATCAGTTTAGAGTTAACCTTTAATAATGGCCTGAGAATATTACTATAACTCTTGAATGGAAGGTGATTTATAATGTGTGGAGCAATCATCGATGCACTTAGGCGCAGCCGGTGTACATTTTGGCACTGATGTGTGCGCGGGAAAAAAATATGTTATTTTATTCTTTCAAACTGTTTTTTTTTAAAGTTAACTTTATTGCCATCAGTGGGCTAATATCCCCTAATGTGGCCAAATGGTCGTTGCTTATTTGGAACAGGAACGCAGGTCAAGTCACCTCCTTACAACATAATGGAAGATGGACGAAGAGGAATCCCCTTGAACTTCTACCTTCAACATGAAGGGGTCTATTTATAAGCAATTCCTGAGGCTGTTTGTCACTATGGCCACTAGATGAGGCTGAGGAGCATGGTAATTATATACTTACTTCCTATGCTCCTACGCTCCATCTAGTGGCCATAATGCAATACATGAATGGCATTCAGAATTACTTTTGATTTGTAAAGAGAAAACTAAAAACCATTTGTTTTGCATGTATTCATATTTGTAGATATTCTCAGGGTGAATAGCCCTGCAAATTGTTCAGATATAGACCTCTAAGTGTGACAATGGCTGCTCTCATATTTATACCTCAACAGGCTGCTTTTAATAATTCTCATGAAAAACAATACTTTAAAAGCCTGTCACGACACAAAGGAGCACAGCAATATATTCTAGTTAGAAAGATGAGAACCCAGCGCCAACTTTAACAAGTAACCCCCAAAGACAACCTGTGATACAAGCCTTTCTGTGTACGTTCAAGACTCTACTAAGCAACGTGAACATAGCTGTCTGAGCCAAATGTCGACGCAGTCTACCCTGGAAATTTTAAACTTCAGAAAAACAAAACCTTCCATTAAATACAATGAAAATTACAATGATGCTAAGGGATCAAACATGCGCGAGTGCTGGTGTGCGTTGTGCAGTCATGCTGCAACGAGAGCTTAATTTAACCCCTTTGTGCCCACTTACGTACATAGTACGTCATTGGCAGCTGGCCCGAAAATATAGAATGTTTGGGGGTTTTAAGTAATTTTCAGGCCTAAAATGTGGATTATAACATGTGTACAAAAAAAAAAAAGAAGGCCTTGGCAGCCAAAGGGTTAACTATATACACAACCGTATGTTGTGATGCATTATCCTCCCTGGCGATAATCCCAAGTGTGGCTCGGGGTTAATTTTCAGTACCAAAAGCGGTAACCCCGAGCCACGCTCGGGATTACACTGTAGCGTCACTTACCTTGTCCCTACGAGCCCCACTGTGTCCTCCGGCCGATGCCGGCATCGGTCTTCCGTGTTCCTTCCCTCCGCCAGGGAGGTTAATAGGCATCATAATGCGCTTCTGTGCAGTGTCCTTCCATTGAGTCAGCGATTATCAACAAACCTGGAGCAAATGGGCCCTTAGACTGGATTCAACTGACGCATTTTCTACTGAAATCAAATGGATGCATCAAAAACCTTGACAATGCACATTGATGTGTTTTGGGGCAAACTAACGCACAAAGGTGTGAATGGGTTCTTTAACCCCTAGGTGACTGAGACTCCAGTTTCTTTTCTGAATCAACTACAAAGTGCCTCTGCATCTTCTTAACTGCACAATGCCACGACCAAGGACCTCTAGTGTGTGAGCATGGCTCTCATAGGCCTGCCAGCCAGCTGTTTGTAGTCAGCCAGTAACAAGCTGCAAGGCTACTGCTCAGAACTGCTTAACTCTTTCTAAAAAGTTTCAACTTTGGCTTTGCAAACCAGTTTGCAAATTGACAGAGGATAGATTCATATAAAAGTCGTAGAACTGTAGGTTGACCAAATAATGGGGCTGATTTATAAGTGTTCAGCCCAGTCACAGTGAATGGCTGGGAGAATGCCGCTTGCAAGGCACAAGTGCCTCTAGATCCTTGGTTCTCAACTGGTGGGTCGTGACCCAAAAGTGGGTCGCGACCCGGTGTTCAGTGGGTCGCTGCATGCCTTCAACTTTTCTAGGCGAGAGGCTCTTCAGCCTCCCCGAAGCGCAGCACTGTCCGTTTTCACACCGAGCAGCCATTCAAAATATGCTGCTCGGCACCGAGTGTAAGCTAGAGGTGGGGTGGGCTGGGTGTATGGCAGCGAGGGAGCTCCATCCATAGATGTATTGCTTATAGCTCCCTCGCTTGTCCTATAGAGGTACCTGGACCAGAGTAACATCACATTCTGACTCTCGGCTCCTCTACAGGCGCGTATGGGAGCTGTACAAGCAAGCACATATGGATGGAGCTCCATCACAGCACAGCAGCCCACACTGCCGTGCGTTTCATTGCAGTGCGACTTGGGTCGTGACTTAATGACCGAGGACAAATGTGGGTCCTGAGGTTACACAAGTTGAGAACCACTGCTCTAGATGGCATTGAGTAGCATAGGAAATACCTATGGTCCTCATCACTATCTTGTGGTGCTATTGCAGTAAAAACGGCATTGCTGAGCTGAACATTTAGGAATCACCCCCAATGCGTTCCATTCAATAAAACATGCAGAAATATATGGACACCAGAAGACACAAACTTTACAACTAAGGATTATCAGATACCAGTTGGGATACCAGTGCCGATACTTGGCATTTTCACCAGAACTACCAGGGTGCAGCTGCGACTTGGCCCTGGCGCTCCACCACTGAAAGTATTAGTCTTTATTGTTATAGAAAAACTGTCACATGACACTAAACAAAAATCTATCAGTATTTGGTATCTGTGGGAATTGGACAAGTATCAGTTTTTCTCTAGTCTAGTTGTGGTGCTGGAAAAGTGTCAGTACTTTTCCAGCACCAACTACTTAAAACTATCCCTTACCCCAGACATGCTGTTGCAGTGTCGAGTGCTGATAATTGCTCCAGCTTCCTCAATCATCTTCAGAATGGTTCCGCCATGGACATTCCCTGCTATGTTGGCGTCATCTGGACGCATAATCCTGTCAAAGAAAAAAAGCAAATTTGAAATCAATATCATGACTATATCTACACTACTTTGTTATTACCAGAGACTGGTAACCTGCAATAAATTACATTTTTGTCTGTTAACTTTTGTTAAGGACCGATCAGCTGTTTCAGGCATATAAGGTAATGCAGATTGGTTCTCCTGCACATGCGCAGTGAGCCGATCTGCCCAGGAACAGCTGACAAAGCATTGGAATGCTTAACCTAATGGGCGGTCACACATTGCACCGCTGTCAAACTTGGCGGGATTACATTGGAATGTGTGACCGCGTCAATGGTCACACATTCCAAAGTAGTCACAAACTTTGAAAGAACAGAGGTAATGGAAACGAGGAGGCTATGAGGAGGGGAAGGGAAGAGATAAGAAAGAGCTATGGAGAAGATAAGAGGTTATGGAGATGAGGAGGGAGGAGGATATGAGGAGGGGAAGGGGGGAGATGAGAAGGAGCTACGGAGATGAGAAAAGGTTATGGAGATGAGGAAGGAAGCGATAAGGAGAGGTATGAGTTCTTTGTCATGCATCAGAAATTAAGTAGGCAGGTCTGACACCACAAGCTTTGGAATTCACAGCCAATATTAGACCATGTTCTCAGGTCAATGAACAAGGTGTGAGCATACTACAGTTCTGGCACATCAACAGCTCTTTTTCTGGACTGGCAGCATAAAACATTTGGAAATGAGCACGCGTCCCGGAGATTTACTAAATCAGCACAAACATGAAGAAAGTACTTCTGATTCACTATAAACATTCTGAACCAAATGCTGGGAACAAGAGCCGAGCACTTCCTTATAGTGCTGAGTACACTATGGAGCTGGAAATAAACACACACCCAGTGCCCTCGCTGCCTTTCTTCCAGTCTCCCCCGTGCTTTGCACATGAGGTCCGCACACTATATAAACAAATACTGAGGCATCAAAGCCAAAGAGTCTCCAGTTCATATAAACTTCTGATATACACTGAGTGGCCAGATTATTATGACCACCTGACGTTTGTAGGCAAATTAGCTATAATTTGGCGCTGAAGTTGCTAGAGGGCCAGACCATTATAAATAGGGAAGCAGGTTGTTTACCACGACAGTAGAAGTGATTTGTTTCTGAAGATATGGGGAAACAACGCGATTTAACAGCCTTTGAACGTGGGATGATTGTTGGTGCTCGGAGCCATGGAGCGAGTATCAGCAAAACAGCAGAATTCGTTAAATGTTCAAGAGTAGCTGTTGTTAAAGTGTTTAAAGACTGGACTGTCAGCCGAAAATCTGGGTCTGAACGTGCGAATTGGGGCAGTCAGCGACTAGTCAATGTTAGGGCAGAACGGAGAGTGGCAAGACTGGTACAAGACAACAGAAGGGCAACAGTGCAGTGTCAGATTCCTCGCATCACCTTTCAACATCTCGTGGAGTCACGAGGCGGCCCAACGAAGTCATCTCGTGGAGTTATCTCGTGGCCCAACAAAGTACTGATGGGGTGGTCATAATAATCTGGCCACTCAGTGTATAATACAAGTATTGGGCATCAGGTGTTGGGGAAGGGGGGTACATGGGCTCACAGCAGGACACAAAATAGTCTTTTTGGGGGCTCGTGTGTACGAAACTTTAACACAAAAACATGACTGAAGGAGAAATATCTTTTACAATACTGACAGGTTCAAATAGCATTGGATAATCAAATACACATCACATCACATCTAAAAGTTATAGATTGCAATAAGAATAAAAAGGAAATGGTTACACTTGTCAGAAAAGAAGAAAAAGATACAACGTAACGCACAATACCTTGTAAGGACATCTTCCATCTACACAGGAAGCTGGGCTAACACTAGACACTCATGCAGGCAGCCGGGGCTGGGGATGAATGATACGCTCCCTGTGAATATGCATGTCAGTGACATCACAAGTGATGTCAGGGGCTCCTGTGAAGCACATGTGCAGCATCATGAATAGACCCGATCTGTGAATGAAGGGCAGTCTACAGCCAATCGCAGGGGCTCCGGTGTTGCCATGGAAAGCCTTTGGCTAAATTAACACCGAAGAGGATGGAGAAATACTTCCTGATTGCACACGTCTAAATGGCGACACTACAAGAGCTGCGAGGACAGGAAGGACAGACTTCTGCCCTCCTTGCAGTATCCTATTTTGCATAACTTTGTTTAAGAAAACCAAATGTGCTATTTGCAAACAGATGCTCTCAGCAACATGCTCAATCAATATGTGTTTAATTTTTTTTAAATAAACACCTTTCTGTCATTACATACCTTATTTTAGACCCAATGACATCCTCCCTGGGTCTCCATGATTGAAGAACTGAAATCCAATGAATGAAAAGGGGCAGACCAGGTACAATCAGGCTGGGGAAGAAAGCGATAGATGATGCTGGATGTCCTCCAGTAAGAAAATGAGGAGGGTTCTATCTTATTTGCTGCAGCTTCTAAATGTACACCGTGAGAAGCTCACAGTGTGCAGTAAAATCAATTACAGAAGAGGAACCTGTACAACTGTGCAAGACTGATTGTAAGGCTGGAGTTCAACGCAAGATGCAGCTTTTACCTGCTGCATTTTGAGTTCAACAAAAACAAAAAGGGCTTTTGGCAGCCCACAATGGCTGTGCTAAAGAAATCACCAAATGGACCAAAAAAGTGCATGTGAACACACAAAAAAGGTGTAATGGGTGTTTCAAAATGGTGATTCCCTGACCCTTGAGTGCAAGGCTTCTGACAGATCACTCTGGTTAACCTAGCCTAAGCCAGACAGATCCCTCATCTTCACGGCCAGCCGAAGACACCGAGTATTAGGTTAGGGTTTCTTCCAAAGAGAGGACTTCCTTGAAGGCAGGGGAGGAAGGAACCTGATGGCCACACATTCTCCCCCTAGACTTCGGTGTAGGCCCATGGAATTATATCCATCATTCTTGTGGAGTGAAAAAGTACACAGACAGAGAGTTAAAAATAAATAGGTGGCAATGTGCAAGACAATAGCCAGGCCTGCTAAAAAAAAAAGAAAAAGCCCCACTTTTAGCCTAAAAGGCATTGTCCAAGAGACATGGTGCAGAAAAAAGTAAGTGGCATCATGTCCTAGTGGATTTCACATTGTGGGGTCCCAAACCCATAGTGTTACTCTGGAAACCCCAGGGCGCCACTCCATGGGGAGGCCTGATACCACGTGCTTCCCGGCTCCTCAGTCCAAGGCCAGAACACGTGGGCCCACCCAAAGTTGGAGACATTAAACTCCTCAGGAACCCCATCTTACCCAGTGGGCACTGAATTCAGGTTTTTAACCATAGTAGGGAAACCTCAAGACCCACATCATACCAGGAGGACTATTCTGCATCCAGCACTCTACCAAAAGGCCAGGACAGAAGCATTTCCTCCACTGGACACTGATAACAACAAATATAGGACTTGAACTTAGCCAAAAGCCCAACAAACCTGAATTTCCTCCTAACCCTACTCTATTTCTAATCACAGTCAACGTCAAACCCAATTGTGATTATCACTGTGGTCTTCCCAAGACTCCTTTTCTGAAGTGCAATGCATTGCAGTCCTTCTCTAATTTGCATATTCCAGGATATGGTTGTCAGCATATTTGGTTCTTCTCTAATTTTCATATTGCGACATGTGGTTGCGTTTGGAAAAAAGAAAACAACAAACACAACAACTACCACAACCTGGGTTAGGGTTTGAGAAGTTGTCCTTGAGGGTGTCAGTACAGGAATAGCTAAACCTGACAGTCCCACATTCAGCAATCTTTGCTACCTCACATGCTGGCTTCTTGTATCTTTCAAGAACTAGAGTAGTGAGAATAATGATCCCATTTGCAAAATCATATGATCACTTCCCCAATTAGTTCCCTACTCTGTAGAATTGATTCATGGGGTAAAGCGAGTGGCTTTGGAGGCCATACTGGAGGGAAAGAGACTTGATGAAATGAAAACGGACTGTTTCATAGAAGCACAAGGTACCACAAGCTAGGTGTGCTGGTGCGTTGCCACCGATCTTCAATGGCACACCAACGCACCTCCCAGAGGGCATACATTGCCTGTCTTACTACAGTAGTATTTGCATGTCTTCTTTCTCCACATGGCAACGCACGGCCACCTGAAGGTGCATTGGGTTACGATTGCAAATCAATGCAAGCAAAAATCTTTGTAAAGGAATCCCGGGACATACAGGAAGTAAACAAAACTTTCCAATTGAAACATAGACAGAAGTAATATATATATATATATTTTTTTTTAAATTTAAATTAAGAAGGGGATGCTAGAGCTCATGTCAGCTTTTTATCATCTGAGAGCAGGTGAGAGCAAGGTGCTGGACCTAGTTTCCTGGGTGGGTGGTGGAGTGTCTCTGTTTCGTCCCAATGGCCTGGGTTCTGCAGCTACCCTCAAAGATGGGGTTCTCCTCGAGTCCAGAGGCCGCCCAGTTTGTGAAATATGTTTAAAGACAAGCATTAGCGAGCACTAAAACCACACTTTAAGCCCTCATTCACACGGGTAACGGCCAGCCCACACAGATCACTGCTGCGTGCACGGCCGTATCGGGCAACTCCCGGGAAGGAGAGGTGCTGCATGTGATTTGTACGCAGCAGCCTGTCCTTCTCTATGGGAGTATGCGGCCGTACGCCGTCCTGCGCTCACCCGACTTGCACAATCCATCCTGTCAGCGTACGAGTACAGACACCCGCACAGACGTGCAGGTCGGATGAGCTTAGGGCGGCGTACAGCAGCATACTCCCATAGAGAAGGACAGGCTGCTGCGTACAAATCACATGCAGTACCTGTCCTTCCGGGGAGCTGACTGATACGGCCGTGCACACAGCACGGATCTGCACGGGCCTCCTGTTACCTGTGTGAATGAGGGCTATGAGTCTAAAGCAATACTTTACTGATTCCACACTGATCAAAAAAATTACAAGAGGTGGCCAACACATTTCATTTTCTCAAATTCGACTGAGAAAGTGGAATTATCCTTTAAAGCATGGTTTTAGTGCTCCCCCGTGCTCGACTACAAACAACTTTTAATTTTGTTATCCGTTTACCTGTCTGGTAAAAGGTTGTCCCCAGAAAAGGAAGTAAGGGTAAATCTCTCTAACAGGAGCCCCAGATAGCAGTAAAAAAAAAAACCTGACAGGGGTTCCAAAATGTCCCCAATTTATCCAAAACTTAAGGGAAAACTTTAATCTATAGCAGGGGCATGCAACCTTGACCCTACAGCGGTGCTGAAAATACAAACTCCATCAAGCCTCTGCCTCTGGAAGTCATGCCTGTGGCTCTCAGAGTCATGCAATGCCTCGTGGGATGTGCAGTTCTACAACAGCTGGTGTGCAGAAGCTGCCTGCCCCTGGGCTATAGATACATAATCATTCCTACGCTGGACACTGCCAGATCGGATCTCCAGATTGTAGCAGAGGGATTTCAGAAGCAAAAAGGAATATCAAAACTACAAAACCTGACATAACTCAACCCCCCCAAAAAAATGAATACCAAACCTGATCCCCCATGCTAATTCTGAGCCTGACCCAGAAGGTAAGGTGTCATAATGACAGTAAGGCAACATGCATTTCCAGGAGGAGAACTCGCCAATAGCAGTCTACATGTTTCTCCCTTTAGCAGAGGATTGCCCTTTTCTACCCAGGCTCACATACCCGTCCCCCTTACCGTCTCACTTCTTTAACCAGATGCACCAGAGACCGATTTCCAGCCCCCCAAAATCTTGTGCTCAGGAACATCATCATCCTCCATACAGACGGCGCACAAAGAAGGAACACACATCTCTATCACCCTGCATAGAACACACCGTGATCACATGCTATTTGTTCAAAGACAACACAGCCTACGGAGCTCCTTTGTGCAGCTGCCCTGCGTTTCTCATACCGAGATCCGTTACCCTGAATCAGGAATTTCAAACAGGCGCAATTACCTGGCGTGGAAAAGCAGTCTCTCCAAAAATCGTCTTATAACCGTAGGACGCATCTCAAAAGGTAGAAGGGTCCTGGAGGGGGATTTAGTGAAATCCTACAGATCTGAACAATGGAAAAAAATAGAAGTTTTTTTTGGCAACAGAATATCACCTTTGCACGCAATCAGCCTCAGCTTCTGTTGTAAGTAAATGTTAACTTCAATTAAGTTGTGCGATATGCTTAAATGCAAAACAAGTCTGTATTAGGTAGGTTAGGCAAGCAGTGGAAACCATCAAACTGCAAGTCCCGGCAGGCCCCAACTTTTCATGGACGGCATTGGTTTTACCAATGTGTTATCACAAAAGGACCTGATGTCATCGGACAGTGGCATGACAAAAGGATGCCCCAGTGTCAGATGGGAATGCAGGAACGCGTCAAGTTGGAAGGCAGATATATGATAAATGTCACCAGCACACCTATGTCTTGTGTCAATAATCCATCTTCGTTATTGTGTCAGACTGTCACAAAACAACGTTTTGGGGCCATGCAGGGTCCCTTTCATCAGGTTTTAGTATGACATACTTTAGTATGTCAGAGTGTCCGATGCTTCAAGGAATTTTGGAGATCTGCAACCATCTCCTCCTCCAAAATTCCTTGGAACATTGGAGGCTCTGCATTCCAACCAGACGGCGTTCCTGCATTTCCACCTGACACTGGGGCATCCTTTTTTTCATGTCACTGTCAGGTGACATGCAAAAAGAGTGGCACCCATAACTACTGAAACATGAGTGGATTTCTAAAACACCTTGACTGTAATATGCAAAAGGTAGTGACAGGGTCTCTTTAAAGAAAAACTTTAGGAAAAAATGCTACTAACCCTTGCAGTGGGGCTAGCCCATGAACAATCCCATACATTGCTATGCGGACCGTTCATACGACCGCATGCCTACACGTGATCCAAACCGCCCCCCGCCTGAACTGCTCCCTGCACTATTTTTGCCGCACTGATCAGTGAGGTTTCCATACAGTTTCAAAGGAACTGGATCAGCGTGGTTTAGGGCATTTTTAATTGTGTTTCAGTGCTGAAACGCAATAAAACAATCCCAAAACCTCCCTTTTGGGGCAACCGCCCTGGTGTGAATGGGCTCCGAGAAAGTCTTAAAACTATAGGATCAGTACGAGGCCAACCGACCAGTATTTTGAAAAGGGAGAAGTCCGTCACCGAAGTCTACATAATGCTCAGTAGAGGCACAAAGCTCAGTGGATGTGCTGACACCCATAGCAATAAGATTTCCCATTCAGTCAGAACAGTGAAAGAAAATTCTGATTGGTTGCTCTGGGATTCCACCTTTCAGATCAACCCATAATATGCATCTATCCAGCTATCAAGCAGAGCTTGTTCAGCATGTAGAAAACTATTATAAGCTCCCCGGAGGACTGACTGGCAGAGAATCCGCTGATCTTGTCCCTCGACAACAACACAATGAGCACCTATGAGTACTATTAATTAAACAGGCCACAGGAACACAGCATGTCGTCTCCCTAGGGCCACATGTTCCCACGTTGTCTCCCTAGGGCCACATGTTCCTTTTTCAAAAGAACTAAATCAATATCTTTAAAGTAGGACTGTGTGAGTGCAGTTATTGAACAACATTGCTACACATGTTACAATGAGCCAATTATTATATCAGGGATGATAGTTTATGATCTACTGATGGCAGGATTGATCTTATTACAAAAGGAGGATCATTAGCAATTCTGGTCACAAAAGATAGGGGCGGGGAGAGACACAGAGATCAATGTGACAGTACCCCTGCCCATCTAATGTATGCTCCTCAACCAGGCTCAGCTTATGTCAGGATTGTCTCTTTCCGGGTAGTACAGAATGTCCAATGGGGACAGGGCCTTGTTTCATTACATCCAAAAATATGATCCGGGTGAAGCTGCTCCCTATACTGATATAAAAACTCAGTGTGTGCTGCTTCTTGGTCTTGAAAAGGTTAGCTTTCCCTAGATTAGGTTGGTTCCTCTGAGAGCTGGTCCTGGCTCCTACCCCTTGCAGTGTCCTATGGAGCAACCCTTTTCTTTAAAGTATGTTAACATGTGTTCTGCTAAAGCAGCCCATTGAATTGAATAGGTTGCCCAACACACTACAATGAACCAAAAACTGTTCCTGCAGCATGTTTTAATTGTAGCATACTGCAATGCACGGTAGCGTGTGGCTGTGCGCTGCAATGCATGGTAACAGTGTGCTGCAATGCGGGTGCATTGGAGTGCCATTTTAAATGAATCGCACTGCGGGAGAACCCGCTTGCAGTGCAGTCTTGCGAATGGACCCATCAATGCACATGTGATAACACTTGTCTTGCAGTAAGGCATGCTGCACTAAGGTAGCCCATTATTAGTTTTTCACCTTAAGGGCCTATTCACACTATCATACTGAAGTAGCATGCGTATGCTCATTTGTGCAATGCAGTGTCATTCTTTCTGAATGGAACCCCAAAGCACCTTATTAAGTCACTTGCACTGCGTGGCAATGCTTCAACATGCATTGCCATGCCATGCAATGCTGAAAATATTGAATGCCTTTTTCTTGTGTAAATGGTGTGTTAGTCAGTCCATAAATGAATGCAATATGTGGCATTACGCACATGAGCTGACACAGCACAAAACTGTAAAAGGATCCTGAGGCAGCAAAAAAAAAAAATCAGACATAACCCTTTTTTCCGTAATGCAGCACACTGTACAATGTACAGCTCATCAAATTTGTTGCACGCTACAACATCAATGCATCCAGGGACCGTTCAAAATCAATGGCACTGTAATGCACCGTGGCTCATGCATCACTGCGAGTTACCTCAAACCAAAAATGGGTCCTCAATACGTTGGAAAATGCTTCCCTCCGTCTCAAAAGTTAAATGAGGCACACTAAAGCAGACCTTCACCCATTTATGTATTGCCCCCTCCCCCCTCACTCTTACACAATTGCAGTAAATTAATTATTATTTTTTCTTCCTGAATGCTCGCCTAGGTAAGAATGACATATCCAGCCACCCAGTGATGTCAACGCTACACATCTCAGGAGGCAGTTTTGGGAGATCCTGCTCATGCGCAGATACATTGCGGTTCTGCAAATGTATAAGATCTCCTTTCAAGAAGGGATGCATGGGAGCAGAACGGCGCAAGAACTTCACCTGAAAGGAACACAACACGAGACTCCATGGCCTAGTAAGTATGTTTTTGTATTCTTTTCATATAGGGACAAGTGTGAGGGATTACAGAATTTCACTTTGGCTAAGTAGGATGAAGTTCCTTTTTAGTATTTTTGTCTTTGGGTTTTCATCTAAGTTATTACACGTTCCGAGTGGGCAAGGCAATGGCATGCTGGTGCTTGTGCCTACAGAGCCAACTAGAGTACACACTGAGTTGAGAAGCACGCCACTGCAATCCAAAGCGGTGTTAGTGAGAGTTAGTGCATGTTAATTAGCTCAGAAAATCAGGATTTTATCATGGAAGCACAAAGGCAACCTGGCTTAAAAGAGAACTACACTCATACCTTAAAATGTGGCAATTACAGTTATTAAACTGACCCCGACACTTTGTATGTTAATGCATGCCTGTCACAGAAGAGGCAACATACTTACCTTTCTGGTGACCTGTTTGTTGTTATGCCGCCTCTTCTGTTTTCAATGGCCATCGAATGGGTCAAATACTTGATCCCCCCCATCGCATGCAATGGTCTTTCCTTCTAGCTCGAGCCACTGGAAGAACCCCCTGCGTGCAAGAGGGGCAAACAGGTATTCCACCCACGGCTCTTTATTACCTGTAGCAGCTGGAGAGAAGCAAAGGAGGCATATCAATAAATGGGCCAATGGAAAGCAGAGCTGTTTGGATCTCTAAATATAGCCGGAAACAGACACGGACAAATTGTTTGGTACCTTTCCATTAAAAAAAAGGAAGATCCCACAATTTTCTCTGAAATGACTTGAAGTTGACCAATCATGACCGGCGTCCATCATTGTGTATTCCATATTTAAATATGGAAAGTTAACCTTTGCAATGGGGACACCCCCGCACTGCAAGGGTACACTGCTTGTTTTGTCTAGGAGGCAAAAATGAAGAAGATATACTCACCAGATCTTCAGTAGCGCTTGGCTGCTAGACTGCAGCCTTTTCTCCTGTTCTGCTATGGCAGTGGTATGTCCCTCAGCGTCCTCATGTCTAATAGGCTGTATAAGACATGATGATGTCACGGGTCCTTAGACCGCCGGAGCCCAGAGGAGAAGAGACTGTGGGGGGCAAGATCGAAGATCGGGTGTGCATATCTTCTTTATTTTCTCTCCCTAGACAATTAGCCCCACTGCAAGGGTTACATTTTCAAATACCTGGAGTTCCCCTTAAACAAAAGCAATTACCAATGCTAAAGCCTGATGAAGGGACCCTGTGTGGTCCCGAAAGCGCTTGTTGTTCATATGACAAACAACTTCAATAGATGAAGCTTTTGCTATCTTAAAAGGACTGGTGTGCTGGTCCTTCTACAATTCTGCTGATATATTACAATGGCACCTGGAAGTGGGGGGGAATATATTACAATGGCCCCTAGAAGTGGGGGGGGATATATTAGGCAGCAAGTGAACATTTTGTCCCTGAAGTTGATGTGTTGGAAGCAGAAACAATGGACAAGTGTAAGGATTTGAGCGACTATGACAAGGGCCAAATTGTGATATTTAGACAAGTGGGTCAGAGCAACTCCAAAACTGCTGCTCTTGCGGGATGTTCCCGGTCTGCAGTGGTCAGGACTGACTGAAAGTGGCCCAAGGAAGGAAAAATGGTGAACCAAGGACAGGGTCATAGTTGGCTGAGGGTCATAGTTGGCTGAGGGTCATGATGCACGTGAGGAACGAAGGCTTGCTAGTCCGATCCAATAGAAGAGCAACTGTAGCTCAAATTGCAAAGTTAATGCTGGTTCCGATAGAAAGTGTAAGAGTATGGGGCAATGCTAATCCCTGTCCACTGCCAGAAAAAGCCTACAATGGGCATGTGAGCATCAAAAATAGACCAAGGAGCAATGGAAGGTGTCGTGGTCTGATGAATCATGTTTTCTTTTACATCATGTGGATTGTCGGTTGCGTGTGTGTCGCTTACCTGGGGAAGAGATTGCACCAGGATGCACTATGGGAAGAAGGAAAGGCAGCGTAGGAAGTGTGATACTTTGGCCAATGTTCTGCTGGGAATCCTTGGGTCCTGCCATTCATGTGGATGTCACTTTGACACGTACCACCCACCTAAACATTGTTGCTGACCAAGTACGCCCCTTCATGGAAACGGTATTCCCTGATGGCAGTGGCCTCTTTCAGCAGGATAATGCGCCATGCCGCACTGCAAGAATAGTTTGAGGAACACAACAAGGAGTTTGAGGTCTTGACTTGGCCTCCAAATTCTCCAGATCTCAATCCAATGGAGCATCTGTGGGATGTGCTGGATTAACAATTCTGATGCATGGAGGCCGATCAACCCCCCAACTTACAGGACTTAAAGGATCTGCTAATGATGGTTTGGTGCCAGATGCCACAGCGTACCTTCAGAGGTCTAGTGGAGTCCATGGCTCGGCAGTTCAGGGCTGTTTTGGCAGCAAAAGGGGGACCTAGTCAAAGTTAGGTGGGTGGTAATAATGTTATGGCGGATCGGTGTGTATATTTAACAAAGATGATATACGGGTCAGTTTCTCATGTGAAAAAATCTCTACATTGAACTCACAGACTGCAATTTAAAAGGAGAACTATGAGGTGAGTGATTTCCGACCTGTGACAATGAGACTGTCACAGGTCGGCTCAGTAGATCGGGAGGTGAGCGACCACATACCGGGTTCGCTCACCTCTCGATCCTGTCACGGCTTTCTGCCGTGACAGGGGAGGGGCATGGGCGGATCCCGACGTCCATGTCGGGATCCGCTCCGGCGTCTCAGTATACCGCGAGCTGTAGCTCGCGGTATACTGAGCTTAGGGTAACGGGAGGAAGCTAGTTTGTGTCCTCCCGTTACCCTAAAGGAGAACTATGGGGAAAAACACTGACCTCATAGTTCTCCTTGAAATAAAATAATGGACAGTAGTTTTTCCCCTTCTCCCCGCTTTCTTTTATTAATGTTATTGTTTTAAAGGGATTCACTTACTAGTAAATATGTAAGGTCTCGTTCACACCTAGGCGTATTGCATATGCGCGACCGTCGCGCGTTTTTTTTACCGCGATTCGCGGTAAAAAAGTCGTGCGACAAACGCGCGTTTCCGAAGGCTACTTGGCTGTAGCCCAATGGAAACGCGCGACAAAACGGCCCAAAGTAGTACCTGTACCTTTTCAGGCGTGGGCCGTTTTGTAGGGCGTTAGGGACGGGCGGAAATACGCCAAGGTGGGAACGAGACCATTGAATACAATGGGATTTATATTTTTAAGCGTTTTGTAGAGCGTTCGTCGAGCGTAGAACGCGCTACAAAACGTTCAGGTGTGAACGAGGGCTAAGTAAGCCGAATAGAGTTTGAAATAGTAACCGACTCTTCTTATGCAAGCACTGCAAGTCACTCGAGGTAAACTACAAACCTGCATTTTTCTTCAGTGACCTCAAGTGCATTCTGCAGTGACAATGTATCCTGACAGACAACAGACATACCCAGCACAGAGATCTGATGAAGACAATGCATTAATCATACAGAGATTGAACACTGCGGAACTACAGAGAGTCTACACAGCCCAGGCCTTTACCCTATTCACCGGGTCACGGGAGAGCACGGCTCGCTCACAGACCTTGCTCCTCCCAGAATGCTCTGGGCTACGGAAGCCTCTCAGATTCCAAATGTTTCCAAAGCTCACACAAGGCTGACTACTAATAACAGAGGCCTAGACCACGGGAGAGGCTTCATTACTCAAGTCCTCAACATGTGCGTGTCCAGTCTCATTCACATGATCCCGGTTTGCTGCGGTGCAATTAACGCTTGTGCGTTAATGTGAGTTGCGTTTAGACAGACCATTCATTTGATTGGGCTGCCTAATGCACCACAAGGGATTGGAAGAAATGCATGCAGCGTTTCTTGAAAGCTCCGCAATGTACCGGATTGCATTACCATGCACTGCAAGGCAGGTGCACTCGGAAGACCAGATGGGTAACATGCACGTATTACTGCAAGCGCACTGGTGTGAATGGGCCCCTAACCTTCAGACAATCTGCAGACAAGGGCCCCCGTCACACTTGGGTGGCCCAATGCAGGACGTTAATATGTGTTGCAGTAAGGCCAGTGGCGTCACAAGGGGGGTGCGGCCCGCACCCGGGTGACACCATTGGAGGGGTGACACCAAAATGACTTGGTGTCACCCCCTCTGAAAAGTCAGGCACTCGGTCATGGACCGGGAGCCCGACAGTTGCATGAAAGAGGAGGGGACCCGGCGGCATACCTTATCTCGCCGGGTGAACGTTCCCTCCTCTGCAGGCGTCGATCACCAAAATGGCCGCCGGCAGGTATCACAAAGATAGCTGCGCACGCGTGTGGTGACGTCTCACGCATGCGCAATGACGTTTTGGTGGGGTGTCACCCAGTATTCGCTCCAGGTGACACCCAGCCTCGGGACGCCCCTGATTAAGGCATCCATATTTATTTAAATGGTGTCCCTGAAGAAAGAGGAGATTCTCATTGGTCAGCAAGGTCATGTGGCCACACTGGCCAATGAAAATCTCTTCTGAGCCTTCTGTGTTCAGAGAAGGTATCCCCAGTGGTTAGCATGACACGAGGCCGCAATTTCCAATGAACGCTTGCCACTGCTAGCATTATAATGCTACACAACTTCTGGGACTGTGAAGTGGAGTTTTGAAGTGTGAGGCCCGTTACACTGGGTGGTGTGAGTGGCAGGAGTATGTCATCTTAGCAGAGAGTTGCAATAGGGACTGTGGGAGGGGTTTGGAAAGGGGAGGGGTATTGTAAGTTAGTTCACCTTATTAGTTTTTCTGGAAAGGTGAACAAACAATTTAAAGCGGACCTTTACCCCTTTGACTACAAATCACATCAGCATTCAGCTCTGCTAACAAACATATTTTTATTGTACTTACAATTTCTTTTTTTTCTACTTGCTGGTCCACTTTGGCACAAATGATGTAATCGTGCCCAAGCAATGCATCCTGGGAAGGTTACATCAGCAGAGCATTGCTGGGAAATCTCACCTGTAATCTCATGAGATCTCAGGGAAAGGCATTTTCCAACCCTGAGATGATGTGCATGGTCACATGTCCTAGTCACATGTGCCAGAGTTCCAGGAAGTAAAAGGGAGAGCTAGTAACCTGCCCTTAGTAAACATGGCCACTACCAGCAGCCTGGGGAAGAAAAGAGAAATAAGGAATGCAAAGAATACAAAGCCGGCAATTATCTAGAAGTATGCGTTTGTAGATTGTCGCCCGACGCTCGGGACATGTAGCTCTACAGCTGCCCAGATCACTTGTAACAGCCTGCTTGCCCGATCGACTGTGCTGCAATGTGCGGCACTGCAATACTGTGCATTGTGGTGCGGTTGGAAAAAGTAACGCATGCTCAAATTGCGTCACAAACAGACGTGGTGTGAACACGGCCCTCACACTCTGAACGGGTTCAAACATATTGCAGGAGAACGTGGGGTGTGAAGTGTCATGTTTGTTTATATTTCCCAAATCATCTCTGTGTGTAAATAAAACAAAAAACACAGACAACCCTCTACAAACAACACTGGAGAGCAAAACACCAACAACTCTACTAACACAACACCGGAGAGCAAAACACCAACAACTCTACAAACAACACTGGAGAGCAAAACACCAACAACTCTACAAACACAACACCGGAGAGCAAAACACCAACAACTCTCTACAAACACAACACCGGAGAGCAGAACACAAACAACTCTCTACAAACACAACACCGGAGAGCAACACACCAACAACTCTCTACAAACACAACACCGGAGAGCAAAACACCAACAACTCTACAAACACAACACCGGAGAGCAAAACACCAACAACTCTCTACAAACACAACACCGGAGAGCAGAACACAAACAACTCTCTACAAACACAACACCAGAGAGCAACACACCAACAACTCTCTACAAAACACAACACCGGAGAGCAACACACCAACAACTCTCTACAAACACAACACCAGAGAGCAACACACCAACAACTCTCTACAAAACACAACACCGGAGAGCAACACACCAACAACTCTCTACAAACACAACACCGGAGAGCAACACACCAACAACTCTCTACAAACACAACACCGGAGAGCAGAACACCAACAACTCTCTACAAACACAACACCAGAGAGCAGAACACACCAACAACTCTCTACAAACACAACACCAGAGAGCAGAACACAAACAACTCTCTACAAACACAACACCAGAGAGCAACACACCAACAACTCTCTACAAACACAACACCGGAGAGCAAAACACCAACAACTCTACAAACACAACACCGGAGAGCAAAACACCAACAACTCTACAAACACAACACCGGAGAGCAAAACACCAACAACTTTGTGTCACTATTTATAAATATCAATTTCACAGCAAATCACCTGAGAGACCCACTGACACACTAATGGAGGTTTACTATAGATTGACACACAGACACACCACTGTCTGACACCGGGGTCACTGACAAAACACTATCACAATACCACACTGACACATTATGACACAATGAGGGGCATTTGTCAAAACTGGAGCAGAGCAAATCTGGAGTAGGTTCTCTCTTTCATTTTCAAAGCTGGTTACTATGGACAACTGCTCCAAATTCTGTCTGCCCCAGTTTTGATAAATGCCCCCCAGTGACACATTATGACACACTTGCTGTGACAGCTCCATGTTCCCTGTGAATTCTGTATGCCGATACCCCTCCATCCTCGTCCCCAAAACCGCAGGACACCCCGGGGCACCCCTCTCCCCATCCTCGGGCCTCTTTCTGCACAGTCACTGATGACGTCACTCCCCGCTCAGCGGTGCCGCCGGGCGTGCTGCACCCACCTGCAGGGTGTGGGCTGACACCTCTCCGGTATGTGTGTGCGCTTACCGGCTGATCTGGATGGTGGAGGCTGCGGGCTCCTTGTGCTGAGACATCGCTGGGGGAAGACGAGGTGGTCCGGCTGCTGGATGCTGAGGCTGGGAGGGAGGAGGGTGACACCAGCCGGCAATGGCAGTGAATGAGGTGACACACCCCTCTGTGACATCCTGCAGGGGGCGGGGCCAAACCTCAATTCACAAAATGCAGAATTTACATTACATTACAATGTATGACATTGTGTCCAATAATGTGTCCTGTTCAATGAGGGCCCCCGATCATCGTGTGATACAGAATGCCCAGTGATTGGCAGCTTATGAGGTGTACGGGAGCCTCAGCTGTGGCCCCTGACAGCTCCAAAGGGCCACACATAATGTTCAGTATATGATAGAATACTGTCAGAGGAGACATCAGAAGCTACAGGCCTGAAATATGATAGGTTGAAGGATGAAGACACTATAGGGGATAAAAAGTCCAGGGACATGCAACATGAGACTGCTAGAGGTCACCGTCATCATGGCCTCCTTGCAAATTAATGCTTCAACTAATGACTGCTGGGGTATGCAAAGGGCATCACAGCATGCACCAAAGGATGTGGCCGCATGTGGCCCTCGGGCGGAGTTTGGGCACCAAGAGTCTATTGCTAACCATCTGACACCAAGTTCCACATTTTCCACCCATGTAATCACACCAGATTATTCAAATCAGGCGGTGGGGGGTTATGCTCAGGAAGATTTGTATGAAATGATGGATACCCATCAACCTCCCGACCTTCTACAGAAGACGTGGTGAGGGCAGAGACATTCACTCCTCTCAACCAATCATGTCCTCTCCTCCTGCTCCTAGTACCTGCAATGGCTCTCGTTGCCATGGTGGGAGTAAAGAATGCCCTAGGGTCAATGGCCAGGGGGAAGAAAATGCCCCAGGGTTGGCGGTTAGCAGGAGAAGGAATGATTGCCCACTGTTAGTGTCATTGAGACTAGTCCTTCATTGTTGGTGTTACTGAAATGAATAGTCCTCCATTGTTGGATTACTGTTGTCATTGGGAAGAATAGTCCTCCATTGTTGGTCTTACTGGAAGGAATAGTCCTCCATTATTGGATTATTGGTGTCATTGGGAAGAATAGTCCTCCATTGTTGGTCTTACTGGAAGGAATAGTGCTCCATTATTGGATTATTGGTGTCATTGGGAAGAATAGTCCTCCATTGTTGGTGTCATTTGGAAGAATAGTCCTCCATTGTTGGTGTCATTTGGAAGAATAGTCCTCCATTGTTGGTGTCATTGGGAAGAATAGTCCTCCATTGTTGGTCTTACTGGAAGGAATAGTCCTCCATTATTGGATTATTGGTGTCATTTAGAAGAATAGTCCTCCATTGTTGGTGTCATTTAGAAGAATAGTGCTCCATTGTTGGTGTCATTTGGAAGAATAGTCCTCCATTGTTGGCCTAATAACCAGTCAATGCTGCTCTCTCTCCTTGTGCAGGGTAACTGGGGATCTCACATTACCTACCACTGTGCACACTGTGGAGAGCAGTGGTGCAGTTTGAGCTATAAGAGCCTCCCTGTGGCCTGATAAGGGACATAAATTATATATATTATTACAAGACTAACTGCAAGGGAAGTCCTCCATTGTTTGCAGAACAGGTGTCTCCATTGGAAGATGTCCCTCAAATCCTGTTCCTGTAGCAACTAAATCAGTGGCAATGGGAAGACTAGAGCGGGTAAGTCTGCACAGTAGGAACGCAGACAAGAATATAAAGTTTCCACCCTTTAACAGTATCATCAAAACTAGACTAGAAAATAAAATGATACACTTTAATATAATTTAGATGTCATTGTTGCAAGACAGTATTGCCAAAAGAAAGACTTGTTTGTCCTGAAAAAGGGATATGTGTTACTTTGTTATCATCAAGGCCAAATTTACTTTCTCTGCTGTCCCGAGGCCAGGTACCTCAAAGCGCCCCCCTACCCGCCATGATTTGAGCTTGTCCGGTCCAGCAGTGGTAGCCCTGTGTAATAATAACAGACAGATAACTATTCTATCTATAGAAAGAAACTCAACAAGTTTTTCTGCTTCAAATGACCAGAGGTGCAGTGACGTTACAATATGTCACTCCCTTTAAAACATTGTAGCTTTGCAATGTAACCAGTTTTTACTATGGTATGTATTGCTCAGGGGTGAGGAGGGGTTACATTTTGAGTACATTCAAATGCCAGTCTTTTCTTAAATATTTCAAATAATATAAAGAAAGTAACTGGGAAATGTATTTTGTTTTTTAGCATTAGAATATTTAAAAGGCTTTTCCATTATTATTGTGCATTGGAAGCCCCTTTCTTTTACAGTAAAGTCCACGGAGGGGAATTTGCCTGATTACCTGTCAGCCATCTTTGTTATATCGCGTGGGTGTGGACATTTTTTTTTAAAAACTACTTGTCCAAGGACTAAAGCGGAGGCCCAATCTACTTGTCCCTCATGACAATCTACTTGTCCTGATACAAAAAATAATTTTGACCAAAACCCTATTTAACAACACCGGAGACAAAACACCAACAACTCTACAAACACAACACCGGAGAGCAAAACACAAACCACTCTACAAACACAACACCGGAGAGCAAAACACCAACAACTCTACAAACACAACACCGGAGAGCAAAACACCAACAACTCTACAAACACAACACCGGAGAGCAAAACACCAACAACTCTACAAACACAACACCGGAGAGCAAAACGCCAACAACTCTACAAACACAACACCGGAGAGCAAAACACCAACAACTCTACAAACACAACACCGGAGAGCAAAACACCAACAACTCTACAAACACAACACCGGAGAGCAAAACACCAACAACTCTACAAACACAACACCGGAGAGCAAAACGCCAACAACTCTACAAACACAACACCGGAGAGCAAAACACCAAAACCCTATTTAACCATGTGAAGAAGCACTTCTCATTGGTCAGTGTGGTCACCTGACTGTGCTGACCAACGAGTGCTTGCAATCTGCAAGCGAAATTCCAAATCCATAGGGCAAGGCTGTGCTGGACGGAAGTACAGATAGTACTGTACACCTGTACTGGCAGAGGGGAAGGACCGTGTGCCGGGGTAAGAGGGGTAGAGGGGGCCAGATTTGAGCGGGTAATTCCATTTTCTCAAATTGCTTGGGAAAGTGAACTTACCCATTAATGCGCATTGTGCATGTTAGAGAGCGCTGCTTATTCACATGCAGATGCCGGCGGGCCTGGGGTTGGTTTTAATTCTTTTTCTTTAATTTTTTTTTACTTTATCATTTCGTTCTCTGCTCCCCGCTCTCTATCCTGGAACGATTGCCGTGGTCTCGGGTACCCCAGAAGAGCAGGGGACCCCGAAAGCCACGGCGGGGGGCAGACAAGATGGCTGCTCATTTTATACAAGTGATCTAAGGTCACTTGTACTAAATGAGCGGCAGCTCCCCCGCTCTAAATTTAGCTCTGCTAGCCCACAGCAGGGCTAAATGTAGAAAAAGGAAATGAATGGTAACCACATAAATTTATAACATGCCTTGGTAGCACGGTGCACATGGGAAGGCTTTCAACAATACAAAACACATAAAGAATCCCCAGCACACCTGCCAGCTAGCCGGCAACAAAACAAGTTACCCTGTCAACAGTATGCGTTAAAAACAGAGGTTTTAGTTTCCCAAACCTTTGGCCAAAAATATGTAGAAGCCACACTGCCGCGTCAAGGCTCCTCTGTGAAGTGTGGTTCTAACTCTATTCATGAGTCTCCATGTTGGAGCATATTAATGCAGTTGATAAATTAAATGCAGGTGTACCTGGAGGTAGCCCACTCCTCCTCAAAAGGTGCAGGGACGCACTGGAGGCCTAGAAATCCAAAATGCACGCTGGGGGCCTCAGTGCTTCCCTGCATAGAAAATAGTCAAACTAGAAATAAATGGTAACCACACCGGCTCACTTTTTTTGTGGGGCAGAAGGGGGCATGGCAGGCCATTGAAGTGAATGGCACCGTAGCCACGACCTCCGGCCGCAATGTGATCGCCTGCACGGGAGCTAAAGGCACATTGTGCTTGCGGTCCAGTGCTGTGCGATCGCATTGCGGCCAGAGGACGTGGCTATGGTGCCATTCATTTCAATGGCCTGCCACGCCCCTTCCTGCCCCACAAAAAAGTGAGCCGGCCGCAATGCGATGCAGTGAGTTCTGCCCAAAATCGGACCGGAACGCACTGCATATGGTATGAACTAACCCTTAATCAATCATTTTTGGAATATAAGTTCTTTATGGAGTGACAGGGGTATGTCCATTGCCTAAATACATCTCAGCAAGTTGTGAGGTACTGTATGTACTAATACTCATGCTGTGTGTCTGAGGTCATCTCCTCTAGACAGTAGACTTTTCAGGGGATTAGGGTAATCATTAACTGCAACCACTCCAACCATTAATAATACTTCACTGTATCTGTGTTATCTTCATATGCACATAGATATGTATATTGTGCCTCAACAACCTGTTTAATGGGTCCCTCTTCTACCCCCAGGCCCCATAGCAGTCGCTTGCATTGGTTTAACACAATAGCTAAGTAATATGGTGGGTCCCAGGTATCCAGTGGCATGATAATATGTAAGCACATGTGTCTCTATGAATCATTCTCATGGAGTCATCTACTCTCCTATGCCTAGACTAAGGTCTCTCGGCTAATATCTCCAGTGTACTCTGCACTGGAGTCCTGAAGGTATTAAAAGTAAGTTAGTCACAAGTCTGAGCAACTTAAACCCGGTATGTAATGAAAATGATCCAGAGATGCAGGCAAAACTCTACTTTCATATCAGAGCTGATTTTGTCTCCACTGCCTCCATATTGGTCAATGAGGCCACAGGTAGCCAGAAGGCCAAGGTCATAATTTTCAAGGAAGTCAAGGTGTGCATGTGACTGCAGCTACCATAATCCACTAGCTTTCAGTGGTGGGAGATTGAGATTGATGCTAGTAGCTTTTAAAAGACCAATACCAAGAGTGATGCCCTACCCTGAGGTTTTATCCCTCCATCTAGCACTAACCCTCTCTGTAACTGCAAAATTACCC